AGGAGTCAAAGGAATAGTAGTTGTCCTGATACACTGCTTATATCAATTGAAACAGACTTTCTGAAGTCTCTCATGAGTTTGCTTAAAGGAGAGAGTGATGGGTTGAGGGAGTGAGGGGCTGGGGGGGCGCACTACCTCACATTTAGGCAGCTCACATGTGAGCTCCGGCGAGAAGTCCGTCCACCGATTTCCCTGGTGAGAAAAATGAATACCATCTCAAAGTAATTATAGATACAGTATTGAAAATGCTGGTACTGTAATAGCTCACAGTGCCATGGATCAGTGCATGCCAAAATCTTCACAGCTCGTATTGAACACAAAAATTTCGAACGAAGAAAAAATTGGGAAGCCTGAGGCAATGAGCTAATTTGACAGGCAACAATACAATTTCATCACATTTTTGAAAGTGAAAGAGGCTTTTCGCAGCATCAAGGAGAAATTAGGCTGCTATCAAAAAGATATACAGTACAATGTCCCAAAGGGAGAGAGATTTTTTTCCAGATGTTATTTCCTGGACTTCACGCATTTAGGAGATTAATCTTGAAGGAGCAAGGAGTTACTCAATTCTTTGTGGAAGTCAGTTCAAAACAACCCATTCATTATTTACAAGAATAGATTATCTGAATGTGTGAAAAAAGATTGACAGTGTATTGAATATTTCTTGCACATACAAAAAAGTGACCACGATCAACATTTTTGAGGGATCATTTTCTACGGTACCTTCTCAGTATCAGGGAAGAAATAAAAGTGTTCAAAAGGGCTGTCATCCAAAATAACGATCCTTGTAGGCAAAAACCAAAGACAAACCTCATTCTGACGGCGATACAACTGTTACGCCTGCACACATTGTCTATAATATGATTTCATGCTCTTGAAAACTGATATCACTGTATAGGATCATGCAAACACAATCAAAATCCTCTTACAGGAAAAAAACACCAAAGGTTGAATGCGGGTCGTTTTTCAAGTCATCAAGAAATGAGAGAGCAAAAACTTTTTCTTGAGCATCCTCAACTATATCTCACTAACAGCGTAGTAACAGGAACGCTTCTCAACAACGCACGAACGATTTCATTCACCACTCATAGATCATCTTGACTCCAATAAAAGAGAAAACCCTTGAATAGGGAGTCAAAAATCACAAACAGAATCAACAAATGGGGCTCACTAGAGGGAACACTGCAGGTGATTCAGCTGCAATCTACCTCACTTTTCCCACTCATCACCGTAAGCATTTGTAGTACGACCCTTCTTCGGCTTCTCCGGATCAGGAGCTGCTGAAGATGCAAGTGGACCCGTTACATCACGCTTCATCTGCTCGTACTTCTTTGTTTCGAATTCAGATCGATTTCTCCTACGAAGTTCATCATACGATAAGCCTTGAACATCTTTGCTCTGGTTTTCCTCTTCTTTCATCATTGATGCTTCTGGTGGTCGTTCCTGAAATGAACTCACTGAAAAGAAAAGAAAGAAAAAAATAGGTACGGGGTTTCACATCACGAGGAACTTTCGAAGACGGCAGCAAATATTCTAGAGATTTCCCGCATCAGAAATTCCGAAAATTGGTGTCGTGATGGTACACAAGCGATTAACTTGCTATTCTGCTCAACTAACCGAATTTTCACAAAAAAAAACAGACCATTTTTAAACAGGAACAAGAAAACAACGAAACCGTACCTATTCCATCTGAGTGGATCACATCCTGAAATGGTTTGCAATACCAAAGAAGACATATCTAAGCATAATTGAGAGCATTGAAACCAACTACAGTAATCTAACTACCCTAATCAATTATACAAGTCAAGTAATTCTACCTGACCCGACTGATCAAGCTTCATGCCTTACTGACTGAGTGTAACACCCAACAATCAAGATCGAACACCTAACCAAACACTTCTGATGCTCACTCAAGCAATCCAAGCACGATAAAATTGCCGGAAGGCATACATACACAAAGGAGAGCAGAACAAACTCACTTCAGAAATACAACAGAATCAGAGTAGATCAGTTTTAAACGCTCTCAAGATGCACCTGGATCCTCTTTCCAAAATAACCTTTTAATTACTTGAACGCGCTGAATTACGGCTGTTCCTTCTTTACATCATGCAATTATTTTTAATTGAATCACATGAACTTTTTTAAACGCTCTCAAGATGCACCTGGATCCTCTTTCCAAAATAACCTTTTAATTACTTGAACGCGCTGAATTACGGCTGTTCCTTCTTTACATCATGCAATTATTTTTAATTGAATCACATGAACTTGCCTCCATCAATCTGTAAATGCCAAATGTCTACAAGACTTTTCAATGTATTCCCTTGAACATTCTAAAACAACTACTGACACTTGAATTGGCACCAAGAGAACATTACTGCAAATCAAAATCAGGTACTGTACTGCGGTACACTGATTCAGATTTGTTCACTCTTTGGAGAAAGGGAAAAATGAAAAACAACTTACAGTCCAAATCCGGTTTACGATAATCGTCCAAGTCACGCACTGACCCATCTCGAGCTCTGCGACTCGCAATCTGCTCGGACGTTGGTTCGGAGTAAACCGGAACAGACAATCTTCAAAAATGAAATATTGGGTTAGAAAGTCTTTCCATTACACTGTTGAAAACTATCCCAGAAAACAATACGAGATGAACGAAAGACAGAAAAAGGTACCAACTCTTCATTTGGGATGGGAGGGCGTCCGGCGTTTTGTTGGTTACGGCGGAGAGTTTCTGCTAAGCGACTGTTGGGTAGCTCCATTATCATTTCTGCGCACTTGTCCCGGTATGAGAACTTTCCTGCTATGTATCCGACTAAGGTGGCAAGCAGGACTTTAGGCGTCGATCCGAATCTCGGTGAACCCTGCCAATATCCTGCCGAATAAAGCGTGAAGTGTTTGTTTGATCACAAAAAGGACGGTGATTCACAGTAAAATAAAATGAAAAATTATGCTTTCACTCGACTAGACATGGATTTACGATCATGACTTCCAAAGCACCAAAGTTCTAATCACCTTTTTGAATGCCAAGGTGAGCCAGGACCGATAGCCCAATGGCGAAAGGGAATGAGCGATACCAGAAGCTCTCCACGTTGCATCGTTGCAGCACTCGGAGTTCATCCTGGCTTAATTCCAATCTCTCCCGCTTTAAACAGGAAATTAAGATTTGGGTTTCATACGCATCTCGAAATTAATCGATGAAATTACTCACCAATTCTTGATCATGGTCCGGTTCTTTTGGCGGTACGCCGGCCATGCCGTTTTAATCACATACAAAATTTGAAAACCTATGGATAACTGAAGATTCTAGAGAATGAATAATTTTCACTAGAGTTAAATGAACGTCCTGAATGCTTAAATATTGCCTTCACGTAATTATATATACACCTCGGGGAGAGATCTTGGAAAATACCGTAAAAGCCATCAATTTCCGAAGAGGATGAGTAATAATTATTTCTCATCAGCCCTTCACGCACGGAAGTCCAATCCTGTCCACGCAAAGTCTACATTCGGACAAAATTTCGAATTTCTCATCAACCACGGTGGTGCAAGAATTCTGGATACTGTTTATTTAAGCAATCCACCGGGAACCCTCACTATCGTTTTGAAGCGCGAGGCCATCTTTCTCTCCTGCTGCGCTCTATCCAAGACTGTGCAGGGAATGAGGCCCCATCTTGCCGGAGCAGAACTCTTGGTCATCTGAACTCTATGCCAATGCGTCCCCCATCGCCTCACGCCCTGCACCACTCTCTCTCTTGTGGTTGCGCATGAGTGACTTCAAGAATCGGGAATAAATCCTTTATGCAGGAAGTGGTGTAACAGTTGACTCCATGTGAGAAGAAATGATTTCTCCACATGTTTGTGAAATGATATGATGGGATGTTCCATGGGTCTTTTTGATGTCAGGCATATTTTCTTATAAATGTGGTTTGACAATAAGTGCATTTGACAAGTTGTTTTCAATTGTGGGTTTGACACGTTTCATGCTTGACATCAGTTTCATTGAACTTGGGCATTATATTACTTCAAGCAAGGAATTAGCTTCAAAAGGTTCCAACAATTTTGTTTCATGGGTTTAAAATGACCAATATTGTTCAGCAATAACAGTATTGCTGAGGTCTTGATGTCAATTTTGTATTGAGCACACAAGATAATTTCTTGGACACTGCTTGTATTATTCAGATACAACAATCTAATTATAATCAGGGGGAGGCTTCAACAAAAATACAATAATTGACCAGTTCAAGAAGACAGGAGTTTTTGACACAAGGATCAAATTCTGCTGCAAAAACTATTGTAGCAGTACTCTATATTTATGCCAATGAATGAAATATATATTCATATTAAGTGTGTCATGAAGAATGCACATTCAGGGTTTTTATAAAGAATTTTCCAAGCTTTCCAGGGTGGTGAGTTCTTATTAGATAGATTCTACCTGTTTGACAAGAGTCCCCTTCCTGTACAAGAGATCCGTGAGTGAACTTCTCGCCGGAGCTCACATATGAGCTGCCAAATTTACGCTGCTCCCCCTGCCTCACTCCCTGAACCCATCACTCTCTCTTTGAAGAAAAATCATGAGAGACTTCAGAAGGCCTGTTTGAATAGATATAAATAGTGTAGTAGGAGAAGTACTATCAACAAATATAATTAATATTCATTTTTATAAACCTTATGGCTTTACTGAAGGTTCTCTTTTCATTACTCTGATTATAAAAGTTGAGTACATGCAATGAGAAATTGTCAATTAAATTTGCTATTAAAGGGTTCTTATATTGTATTTATTTGCATTCATTCTCAATGCTGCCCTTCCTAGTATTCCTATGGACATTCAAAATTGTTTCTAACAATTCAAACTATAAATTTGTAAGATATAAATGCATACCTTATGAAGTTTCATGATTCATGATTTAATTGAATATTTCACATCAAACAAATGATATTTGGAATAATGTATGGAGGTTTGAGGGGAAAGTCTGAGACTCAGGGAGGTTTTAATACATGTTGTTTCTAATGAAATTCAGACATAGATGAACATAATTGGACTTCAGGAAGTTCCAAGTGCTGGTTATCCCTGTAGTTCCAAATTAGCTAGCAAGAGGTCTGATCAGTGCTTGTATCTCATGCAAAAGTGACATCTATGCAAAGTTATAACAGAGGATTGTCTCCTACTTTGCTCATAGATGTTGCATATGCATGAAGTACAAATTGATGCCTAACAAATAATGTCCTAGCTGATGCAGTCCTGCAACTGCATGCTTGTGTTTGCTAGGCCAGTCACCAATGTATAGATTTCTGAAATTGTGCAATCCTAGCAGATAATCCAGGTATATGCAAGCATTACAAGCAGGCATGAGAGTACAGATGTTTTCAACCAATAACATATGCAGTTTGCCTGTTACCAATTTTTATTTGTGTCAAGTTTCCTCAGATTTATTCTTAAATTATAAATGCTCCAGTTAGATAATTTTTTTTTTCAATTCACAGGGGCCTATTTTTTGCCTAGTGAGCCCATGATGCTGCAGCATCATTAGCACCTGCTCTAATCTGGCCTTGCCTCAAGGTACTATATGATGAGGATGTACTTGTTCAAATAAAATTGTCAAACAGTCCTCACAACCAGTCAAGTTGAGCTCCATCTGTATCAACTTTTCAAACCACAGTTCAGGAAGGTTTGCACTTTCAACTCTGATCAGTGTAGAAGCTTGAGGATAAAACTTCGTAACACTTGAATGACAAAAAAGTGGACTCCTGTATACTGTGAAGAAGTTGTCCTGTGACACCCTTTATTCCAGTGTGAACATCCTTACTAGACCTGGTATCACTGTAGTCCTGTGACACCACCCAGCAAACTGTAAACTCAAATCCTCAAGTCTGTCACTAGTGTGCGTAAAGAAGAGAGTGATGAGAAGAGGGAGTGAGGGTATGGGGGGTGCAGTGACCTAAAGTTTTGCTGACCAAGAGTTCTGCTCCGGCAAGAAACTACACCACTGTGGGTGACACATCTTGCGACGAAAGAACGACTCCTTCGGCATGCATGCTACGATCATCATCGTCATCCGAAATATTCATCATTTCCACATCGGAATGTGACTCTGAGCCTTCGTCTTCTTCATCCCTAGAGTCCGAGTGAATGTTTCCACTTTCTCCGGAAGTTTCGGGAAGGCAAGCCGCAGAACGAAGAACTCGATCCATTTTTCTCGCCTTTTTCTCCATTCGATGAACAGACGCCGTCAAGGTTTCATCGCAATCTTCGTCATCTTCACTCGTTTCTGAAATACAGCCCGTTTCTCTCGGTGAAGCAAGTGTATCCGAGTCTGAGATAAATAAACAGACAATCTCAAATTTCAAGAAACAATGCACAAAATTCAATTAGATTCGTGTACCTATCACGGAATCCTCGGAGACGGCAGTTCTATTCAAGCGTCTCGGTTGATTCCTGCAATTGAAATTATTTGGCATGAGATAAATTGATCAAGACGTTTTTAGAATACTGGAAAAATTCTCAAATACTCTTAGACAAAAGGTTTACCTAATTATATTCTCTAAAATGTTCTACTGTAAGTTCAAGACCACACGATTTCTTAAGCTTTTACACTGATGACGATTTGAAAAAAAAAATTGAAGAATTCTTGTAAAGACAATTTTGAAGTTCGGAATTCACACTGGGTTACTTCAGGTCATTGAAGATTCACTTAATTTCCGGTTAGGCCAGCGACTTGAATGAAATCTGAGAGACATCCGACCTAGACAAAAAGGTGAGAATAAAAATTTGAAATTATAAATTGTTTCGTAGACATTTTAGCAACCTAGAAACGGCGGCGTATTTCCTTAAAAAAATTATACAGCAGAATCTTGTTACAACGAATCTCGTTCACGAATAATCGATTACAAAGAAGTCATTTTTTCAAGCCTTGTCCAATAGCCCAAATGTTGAATGAGTCACTTTATAACGAATTTTTCGTTACAACGAAGCTATTTCACTGGCCCTAATGGCTCCGTTGTTTCGAGATTTTTCTGTACGAACATAAGAATGTTCTCTCAGAATATCTTAATTAAAATAATTAGGTTTGCGCTCATTATTTTCCATCATTTAAACCACGACCCATACATTCAAAAAAGATTCAACGTGAAAAAAAGAAAATCTCACGACTCATGGTTTGATGAATCGAAGACACTATCGCTGACGGCATCATCGTCGCGAACTGTCGACTCCGTTATTTCGGAATTAATTGAAAGCAATGGCTTTCTAACGGTGCTGCAAACCATGG